AAGTGGAGTTCCGGATTCCGGGCAGATTTCGCTGTGTTGAAGAACGAGAGGGGACCAAAAAGAAAGATACGGTATGTGCAGTAAGATGTGACAATACTGCCGAACCAAGAGGGGAATAAGTATGCACAAGATTACTTTTGAGGAGTCGACCTACTGACCGGTAAGAGAGAAGATGAACAACATGGGTTGAGAGTGAAAGACATCATTGTCGCAATCCCAGGCTCTGACCTTTCCAAAAGTTTGGAGAATGTTCAAAATAGTGGCGAGAAAACAGTTCGCAGCGTTCAGTGGATGATTTTATTTTGGAAAGAAGGACAGTGATCCGAGTGAAAGTTCTCAAAAGTGACCAACTGTCGAAAAATTTGCTAAACCCGCAACGAATTCAACTCGTAAGGAGCCGGCCATGACAATGAATCAACAGATGAACGGTGCGTACAAAACTCCAATTGGTACATTGTATTGTAAAGATCACCAAAATTGATCCAAACCGTGAGTAGTTGGTCTTTGTTCCTGTTTTATTGATATATTTTGATTGTGTTACGTATTGACATGCTACAATGAGTGATTTTTAAAGAAAAAAATATCCTAACCTCGAAAAAATAAGTGTCATATTTATATCCTTGCCTCTCCATAACGGTAGCCTAGGTAGCGGACGATTTAAAAATGGGGAAGGAGGGGGACCTTTTTTGCAACGCAGACTACATAATAGCCACCTCTCTACAACGGCCACTTTCCTCTGTCCCCAGGGTGGCCCTTATGGAGAGGTTCGCGGCTGGGATAGCTATTATGAGATTTAATAGATAGCTGAGATAGTGAGCTGAGATTGTGGCAGGATATTTGTCACGCGTCACGGAAGGTCGCGACTGCAATAGCAACAATGTTTATATGATCATATGTGTTAGTGTACCTAAACTTAAATGTACAAAGTATAAAGCGCAGGTTGAGATTTTGTTTGATACTTCGCAGTTTAGTTTGAAAGCATATTTATGGAAAGCAATGGTGTGAAAACTAATAGAAGTACAAACCAGATGTTTACACACACCCTTAAATCAAGCTGGAGCATACCTAGCTATTGCCGGTTTTCATATGACGTCATCTTTTTCCAAAATTAAAAGTAACCAATCCTTCTGAAGTTTTAGTTTCATCAGATAGAAGACCCTCTAAGATCTTGACGTTTTACAACGTTTAAGTTCGACAGGGTTCCGCATTTTATTATAGAGAACGATTGAATTTAAAAGTATTTGCGTTGCGTGACATTAAAATGGCGGCCCGAAAGGGCTTTCGCGTAATATAAGATCAGAAGAGGAGTTATCGTTCACGTTTTTGCTCACTGAACAGTTCAATTATCCGCTAAAATCATAAATGTTTTTGTGACATCGCAGCCTGCGAACAGGCTCTTCGATTCCAGTGAGTTGTGTTTGTTTGCTTATTGTGCTTTGTTTTTTTGTTTGTCCTTTTTTCTCGTGTGTGTGTGTGTGGGTTTTCTTTGCGATCGGAAACTCGAAAATGAGCGATAGCTCATTAAACAAAGGAAGACCCACCATATATCTTTCCCTTGAGCCAGTTTTTTAGCGTGTTTGCCTGTCCCTTCTAGCCGAAGATTCAACTTTTCCGGGCAAACTGGTCTGAGGTCAGAGTGTTACACAGCTCAACTCCTGTTCCTCCTCGAGATCCTCACGCACACTTTCGCTTGTTAGACTGATTAAAAGCAGTCTTCTATCTCCTCACAGCAATAGCATTTGCTTACGTTTGTCAGGAGATCGCAGCAACAGCTCCCACAGGTACACCTACGTGTGAAATAAGTTGTTCGAAAGTTAGGCAAACTGCTGTTTTCAGGTTACTTTCCATAGATTCAGCCATTTTGTAGATTGAGCATCACTCCAACATTCGCGACCAGAGATTGTTGGCAAGGCCGACTTACAAATCGCTCTTGCCTCCGCACATCGCTTTCCAAGCGCTTTTTCAACTCTTTCTTAAACCATGCGTTTTCTTTCGGTTTCCTACTGAAGTTTTCGAGCCACCTTTCTCATCTCCATCGGGCAGAAGCTCGTCTGCGTACGCCGTACCAGCGAATCGTTTCTTATTTTTGGATTCAGAAACACACGATCCTCCATTCACGACATTTTACACATACAAATAGGAAATAACGTTCGATTGTTCGCCTTTTAATTATCAGTCACATTGTAAGCCCGTCAAGCTTTCGGATCAGAGGCGAAGGTATACTAAAGAAATTTAAAAGGTAAAAAACGCGGTGGCCTCATGGTTAGTGCGCTCGTCTGCGGAGTGAGCGGTCCGGCCGGGGTTGAGTTCTGGCCAGAACATTGTGTTGTGTTCTTAGGCAACACAATTTACTCACACAGTGCCTCTCTCCACCCAGGTGTTTAAATGAGTACTGGCGAATTTAATGCTGAGGGTAACCCTGCGATGGACTAGTATCCTATCCAGGGGGGAGTAGAAATACTCCTAGTCGCTTCATGCTACAGAAACTGAGATAAGCTCCGGCCTGCTGGGCGACTTGGCTCGTAGGCGGACTTAACCTTTTTCTACCGGTAATGTATAAAGCCGAAAATCCCTTGCTCTCTGGCCCTTTGGGTACAATTCTCTTAAGAGCAAAAGCAATTTTCTCTCAACGCATGCACATTACAGATTAGTTAGTGTTACTGTCGACAAAATTTTAGATCGAAGATACATTTCATAGAAGGTCTCGACATATCTTGAAGATCTTGAATTCCAGCTTGCACTTCGGACAGGCAGTTTTCATATTTTACTTCCCTGCCCTTACTTTTTTTTTTATTTAGTTGGCAGACCTTGCCCATCCGGCATGTGAGAATGAAAAGTTACTATTTAATTGAACTGTAATAACATGAATGAACTGTCATAAAATGAACAACAGTAATTTCAATATTATTTTTCCAATTATGCAAGTTCAATTCAAGAAAACGTTTCAACATAAGATCGTTTGTATTAATTAAAAGAGCTGCAGATGAATCAGGTCTACAGGTGAGAGGATTGAGTCTACTTCCGGTCACATACACGAATCAGCGATCACGTTTCGTTACTGCTTCAATTTTGTGACTTTTCGTTTGTCTTAAACTCCGAACACCCCCGTTTTGAAATGGATTTATTGTCCAAACCGTCACCTAGAATACATTTAGAGCTCTTTTGGTATTTATGAGTGACATTTCAAAGCGAAGACTGCCGATCAATTTGTGGAACAGCACGTAATATTTCAAATATTTGTTTACCTGTCTGCCTTCTCAACAGAAGTAATCAAGGGTCGCCTTCCTCGTGGAAAATGCGCGCGTGCTGATAAATCCGCTACATGCTCATAACGCTCGCCAAAAATTGCTCTTGCTTCGAAATTCAAAAGGTACATATAATACTACAGACAGTAGCCGCAATGCTTAGTTTTTCACCTGATCACTGAAAGATCAGATCATGATTACGCTGGTGAAGAATGCTTGAAGTAGCTGTTGGCTTACAAGGTTCTACAGATATTGGCTAAACGAAACAATAGGTAAACAACACAAACATGTAGAGGTTTTAACGAGGTGCAGGTCGACTGGGGGTTGGAAAATACGATATGAATTGCAATGAGAACTCTCAACTATATCGTCACGTTTTCGCGACTGACCAAGATATATTTTTCGAAGGCAAATTTCCCGCAAGAGTCACTACGTGTATCATATTGTTTTATAAACAATGGAATTGAAAAATTAACATTGTAGCTTGCACATGCGTCGAGCCGTGATACCCTGAGGGTTCTCTTTAATTAAAGCGAACGAGTTGTCAAAATCTTGACACCTTTTGAGGGGCGTCTGTACAGGCTCTCCTTTCACCGGCACACTTCGCTCGCCGACTTCGCTTTTGCTAGAATGAATAGAAATCGCCCCTTTCTCCCGCCCTCAGCCTAATCCCCGTCTCTCGACCGAACAGGAAATGACTGACATTTCAGGCTACGCCTTTGCTTGTCCCGCGCGCAGCGTCTGAAAACCTGTTCGCACGCTATTGTTAGTTATTTTGGAGCTAACTAAATACACACGTGAGACCGTCAAACAAACACATTGCAAGGGTTATATGTCTTATTAAGACTCCTGTCAGTTCATATTCTGCAAGGGGAAAAGCCCTTACTCGCCATAAAAGTCAATTTAATGAAGGCAGCGACGAAGACTTCTATGACTAGTATATATCAGAGCTGTATATTGCAATCCCGGGTGCACTATCTGAAATTGTCTGACTAGTTTGATCATTTCGTTAGGAATATACGGTAGAGACATCAGTCTTGATGGAAAAGCTGACAACGTGCTTTGAAAGGGAATCAAGTCGACTGTCTGGATTAGCAAAGAAACAAGCTGGACGTAGGGCGGCATAGAATTTCAGCCAATCAAAACCTGCTGTCATTAATATGGCAACAAAGATCCGAAAAAAGGCACACGAATGCAAATATTGTGGCCAGTTGTTTGACCATTTATCGGCTTAAAGGACCACGAACTAACTCCCACAGTAGTGAAGCCGTATTCATGCCAGCATTGTAAAAAGTGCTTTAGTCGGTCATCAGATTGCAAGACACATGAACGAACTCACACAGGAGAGAAACCGTATACATGCAAGTTTTGTGAAAAGTGCTTTAGCCGGTCGTCACATTGCAACCAACATGAACGAACTCACACTGNCCCCCCCCCCCCCCCCCCCTGATTGCACTTTGCCCAATCTGCAATTGTCTCACTCGTTTTACTACTTCACTCCGTTTGATGAACCAAAAAGATTGGTTAACACATAATTATTATAAACATAAGACCGGTTCTGACAGTTAATCATAGAAAACGAAGATTCTAATCCTATTTTGGCTCATCGAGGGAGAAGAGAAGGCCAGAATTTTTGTTTCTGAGTGAATGTTATCGGTAAATACTTGACTACAAGTAATTTATTAATACACCGTTTTTTAGTCCTGAATATTTCGCAATAGGCATAGGCATAGAAATGTTGTAAAAACAACTCACCGTTCTTCCCCGAGCTCATATGCTGTATTTTCACCGGATCGGAAAGCTCAACATCAAAATCGTTCCCTGAAGTCCTTTCAATCTTGCTGTACCATGCGGAAACAATGCCTTCGCCCTCAACCCGGAGAACGTTGTTTTCGAAGCTCGAATAACTCGTTCCTTCGCAGCGTAGTTTGCCAAGATCTTCTGTAAACTGAACCACGCTAGAATGAAACGGATCCAAAACGGGAAGCCTGCAAGCAACGTCGCGTACACGTTCCTTGGATAAAACACTAGTTGGAGAGCGAATTTTACCAGTGTAAGACTTGAAAAGTAAAGTTCCTTGATACAGAAGCATAAAGGACACCAAACAAATAACAAATAACAAAACGACCATCAGACGAGAGCGAGCATATTTCACAACATAGAAGGGGTTGCATATACGCTTTAATCGGGTGTTAGACATTTTAGATATCCGCTATGGCGACATCGACTGCTTGTTCGTGAGAAAGAAACATGACACTGCTGTTTATGGTGCTTTGTAGAGAGCTAAGACATGACGTCATAGGCTGTCAGAGGTGTCATTAGTATTGTTACAGCTGTTCGTTCTGTAATAACACAGTTCTTTAAGCCTCCCTCTCTATTTTTAAGGTTGCTGTGGTAAACTTGTCCTGACAGTCCGAGTTTCACTTGTTTGTCAGCAAGCAATCCGTGGATGTCTGCTTACAACAAGCATCGATTACGGCTATCGATGCGAGTCTTAAAGGTAGCTTGCGTCACGACAGTCCATACAAAGTGTATACAGTCGACAGGTCAAATCTCGCCCGCAATTACGGACATCTGCTATTACGAACAACCCGCTATTAAGGACACCCCGCTATTAAGGACACCCCGCTATTACGGACATCCCACTATTTAAACACGGACCTCGCTATTACACCGGCCACCCGCTATTAATGTACGGAAACAACTTCCGCTCATGATTCGGAATTGCGGGCACCTGATTAGGCTCGATCGAACAGCGGCTGGTAATCGAGTCTAACATGCACCTGATGTCGTCGCAAAGTAATATTTTTAATGTTTCACTCTAGTTACGACGGACAACTTGGATTCTGCATTCTTGTAATCTTTACTAGTTGTGCACTAATTTGGACTGCATAAGATGATTATGTGTCAAAGTAGATTATATGATTCGTACTACAAATTAAAAGGAACACAAATAATGGTTCCGGACGGTCTCTGCTATAACGAGAGTTGACCAGTTGACTATGTAAGATTTGCTGTGAATATCAAGCTCCCCATT